GAATTCTTTAGTAATTTAACAAATCTTTTGGTCAATTTATATACTTTTAATTATCTATTTTTGTGTGTTGGCGTTGATCCAGAAGGGATATTACTGAATTATTTATTTTTTAAAACAATAAACTATTTATTACAGCTATACATTTGGACATCAGTATAGACATTTCTAATGTTTATGCCAATTTAATGTAAATACATATACATACACATTTACTCTTTAGTAATTTAACAAGTTTTTGTCGATTAATATACTTTTAATGATCATTTTAGCGTGTTGGTGGTGATCCAAAAGGGATGTTACTCCTAATTAAAAATAAATAAATAAATAAATAAATAAATAAATAAATAAATAAATAAATAAGCAGTCTATTACAGCTATACATTTGGACATCAATACAGACATTTCTCATGTTTAAGCCAATATAATGTAAACAAAAAAACGTATACATCTATCCTTTAGTACTTTAACAAGTTTACGCCACTTTATATGCTTTTAATGATCATTTTAGTGTGTGCTGATCCAGGAGGGATGTTACTATATTACATCCATATATCAATATAGACATTTAACATAAAGTTGGGAAAGTAAACAAGTGATTGAATCAAACAAAGAGATATACATTCCTTAAGGAATAAATGTTATGTCAGTTTGGAGTTAATCATAACACGCCAACACCATCCAAGCACTTCAGTATTCGTCTACAACAAACGTAATGAACCGTCATGAATTCTAGACAGTAAAGAAGCAAGAAGACATACCGAATACTGCTCAAATTACTGCAAGTTCATATCCAAAAAGTTTTAATCTTCACCCGCCACTGCTCCGTGCACAGCGATGTCAAACCGGAGTCAGAATCTCTCAGCCGGACTTCCGCGTCGTTGGATCCAGGTGCGCGTCTTTCAGGTAAAGGGGCGGGGCTTGAGTAACGCCTGCGTCACCGCCACATGTGCCTTCATTCTGTAAGGGTGAGAGCTGGGTGAGACCAGCCGCGTCAAGGCTAAAAAATGCTGCTCTTCTATTTAAAAGGTTCACTGTTTCATTTCAATTAGCCTACTTCAAAATAGATGACGTGTCTTTGTTAGGCCAAATACATGGAGTAAATTATTCTCCTCCAGCAAATGATATATTGCTGCTTTGTTTGCTGTTAGGGTGACAAAAAGTTAAACAAACAAATAAATAAACCTAAAGCAGGGCCAATCAGTGGCTTTATTTTCACAAATATCAAATATAAAGCGAGAATACAAGCTTCCGTTTTATTTTAACGGCAAAATATTAGAAGAAATAACTGCTTTGCTTTGTTCTGGGAATATTTGATGACCCACAGTGAAGCAAACTAACATATTTTCCCATTTTAATTGAAATGTAAGGGATCCATGTACTTTATAACAAACAAAACAATGTCTCACACACTCATCATATGTGGACACTTATTTAAGATATTTCTTAATTATGAAAGTTGTGTACACAATTATTTTTGGCTGGTTTCTCATTCCAGACATTTTAGTCATCCTTTATATTACATTTATACAAATAAATCCCACTTTTTGTATTTGTAACGGGATTGTCACGGGCACGCGCTCTGCTGGGTTGTTGCTAGGAAACATGGAGCGGGAACGCTATCTAATGAAGTAAGTTAGCACAGCTATAATCAAATTGAAGACCTTTTTATTACAAAAGCCCCTTTATTTACTTTAAATGTGTCAATAATCTTAAAATAATGAATTAAAAAGCAATAAATACAATGTCTTTTATAGAACTTAACGAACAAAACAAAAAAACAAAATGTTAACTTAAACCACTTGTTGCTTCGGTTAGTTCAGGTGAAAGCTAACTTAACTAATAAGCTACTAAACATACTAAAATGTTTTAAACCATACTAAAATTTGTTTAAAAACTCAAATACATAAAATCACTTTCTTTTGAGAATGTCTAAGCCTCTATTATTGGAGTTTCCAGAATAATTCTAACTTCATAACGTAAATAGAGATATACGTTAATATTACACCATATCAAAACACCGGCACCGCGTTTTTCCATGTCTGAGATCTGCTTGTCCAGCTGAATGACTTACAAACCCCGCCGCTCGGGTATCTGACATCATGATGGATCACATCCGAGAATAAACTCACTTTGTATCTCACTTAGACGTGTTACCACAATAAATCACCCAATGAAACATTAGGTAGATGTAAAACACTTACCAGACACACCGAGGCTGAAGGTTTTAATCAGCGCGTCCCCGTGCACATGGACTTCATAAAGAGCTCCTGTGTTTGCAAGGCAAAGAAAAGAAACCGGACACGAACCGGACAAGAGAAGAATACCAGAGAGGCTCAGAGTGTTCATCTGTAGACACTGGACATTTCACATTTCACGCTGTGTCTTTTCTTATTCAATCTCCCTGTGCTCGAGTTTAGCGAGAATGACTGACTCTTGCTGGAGCTTGAGGTATGAATCACTGGGAACAGTTTCGCAAAGTTTACTCTAGGACTTCAGACTT